GTCAGGCCTGGGGCTAAGAGTGTATCCCCACCCAAATGGTATGAATGTTGTGTTCTTTTTAATTATGTATTGTGCCTATGTGACATTGTTGGTATCCCCTTTCCCTATGAGTTGTAAGCCGCCCTGAGTCCCCCCAGGGAAAAGGGCGGCCTATAAATAAACTTTTCCAATTTCCAATTCCAATTCCAATCCACTTAAGAACAGTGGCCAAAAAAGATTGTAAAATTGGGCGTGATTCACTGAACTACTGCCTCTTCGAGCAACAGAAGTTCCGGTCCCAATTGTGGCCATAAGTCAAGGACTACCTCTATGCAGAGCCTGATCATTATTTTGAGCCACGATTAAAAACGCAGCCAAAGGTTCTGACTAAGTGCAAGGAGGAACCCTGGGATTCAAACCATTTGAACTGGCTGAGATTTTGAAAGTCTGAAAACAGGGAATCCCAACCCCCACCTGTCTTATTCAGGAAATTCACAAGCCCTCCCAAGTTTTCCTTCAGCTGTTCTGGCTGACCTCAATTTGGCGGTAATCGCAAGCCGCCTTCACGGAGATGGTGTTCTTCAAAGGGCACTCGGGGTTTCGGGGCTTCAATTGGATGATGCTTTTGGACCTCCCCACCAAGCTGCCCACAGAGCTCTTGGACTGGATGAGCTGCTCCTTTTCATCCTGCTCAAAACAAAAGCCAGATGACTGTTACGAGAAAGGTGGGAGAGAGAGGCAGTCACAGCAAGGGACTCCCCCCCACCAAAAAGACACCTACATAAGCCCTATGGCCTCCCCATTGGGGGTGAGCATTTTGCCAGGGGCAGGAGTGAGAGGGGGCGTGTCCTCCCTTGAGCAGAGGTTGGCAGGAAACCCCCAGCCAGCCCCTTTCATTCTCTTCTGCCAAGAGGCTCCGCTGGCTGTTCATCCTCCAAGGCACCTCCACCCACCCACCTGGGAGCACAGCCCAGAACCCAAAGACGAATTTACCCAAAGAACAGTGAACAGAGCAACAAGATCCAGACCCACTGTCTTTTTTGAAGAGAAAAATGCTGGAGTTTTGCAAAATAAAAAAATGGAAGGGGTGGAAGAACTGTGCAGAAAGGTTGTTCAGAAAGATTGATGTATGGACTGAAAGCAGTTTAAAACCTGGCTGAGACAATGCTGGTAGGTAGGAAGATAGTTGAAAGAGATGATAGATAGATAGATAGATAGATAGATAGATAGATAGATAGATAGATAGATAGATAGATAGATAGATAGATAGATAGATAGATAGATAGATAGAGCTTAAAAATGAGCTACCTGTGCCTGTCCCAGGGGAGCATGGTTGGAAGAAATACAACTGTAACTCATTCATTATGATCATTAGGCATCTACTTTGGCCCCAGGCAGGTGCCTTCCTTGTAGCCCTCAAACAGCAACAAGTTTTGTTGGGTTGTTTTGCAGCATCTCCTCCACTTCCCTACACAGTTTCTCTTCCTGGGGTCCTTCAACTTTCCCCTCCAAATGGCTGGAATCTGCCTCACCCGACTGCCCCAAAGCGCCCTCCCTTCTTCCTCTCTCTTCCAGAATGCTGGTCAGCCCAAGAGCATTGGTGCAGATGGCTGGCTGCAAGCACAAAGCTCCCACTCCGGAGGAGTCTTCCAGCGACCCTCCTTCTCCTGGTTATGCTTAGAAAGTCTTCTCCATCCCACCCATCTTTCCTGCTGGCCTCCACCCTTGTCTGTCCTGCAGTCTCCCTCAGCCAGATTGGAAGCCTTCTTTTCTTAGCCAAACATTTTAATACAAATCTCACCACACCCTCCCTCCCATTTCTTGTTAGAAGAAGCCCAATCTTGTCAGGAACTTCCTTTCCTGCCCCTCTCCTAATTTCTATGGAACACAGGTGGGAATCACTGGTATTGTAGTCCAAGCAATCCAGAAGACAACTGCTAGAGGACGCCATGGTGCCGCTTCTGATTCAGAGCCGGTAGGCCTAGAGCTGCTCAGAGATCAGACCTCAGGGGACAATGTGCATCTGCCAGGCAGCCAGTCAGGAGAAGCCAGCTTAGGGACAGGGTCCACACTGTGCAGCATCAGCCCATTAGCAGCACCTCAGGAAGAACCCAAAGGGCTGCTCCCCATCAAGGGAGACAAGCTTTGGCCAGACGGATCAATGAAATTGATCTCTGACTCAGAATTTCATGACAGCTTGTGCTCCCCAACAGCAGCACCGACTTCAGTGCCCTGAAAATAAATAACATGCTGGGGACCACTTCACAGATACATGTGAGGGGGATGCCAATCAAACACAAGAGGACTTCAGTAAAGCAGGTCTGGAAATGACCAATGAGAAAACAAAGAGTTTTGGCATGCATACACATTCCTTATTTGCTTTGAAAGCACAGAGCTATTAGCAGTGCTAGGATCCACTCTAATCAAATTAATTGATTCCCAGAGCATCAAAGAAGGCAACTGTTGGAGAAGACCACCACCAGAATTGATACAAGGAGCACAGTTAGCAAAGGTTGGGAAAATTGTAGACGTTCGGAAGGTCTCTGGGTCTACAGGATACCATGTGACTTGTCCAAAAAGCACCCACCATGGAATCCTGGAGCAGGTCCTCCAGGCGGGTCAGGCTGGTATTGCGGTCACAAGAATACTTCCTTTTGATGTTGTCCTGGAGGCTCTTCAAGAACATCTCAGATTCCCGGGCATCACCAAAGAACTGGAAGGGTATAAAGAAGTCTTTCATTTGCCCAACCCCGCAAAACATGTGTACATCCATGGCAAAGACAGGCCAGAGTAGGGAATCCTGGCATTGTGAATTGACTGGGGATTCCCAGCCCTCCCTGATCTGCCCTACCTGGAAGTAGGCGGTGTTCTCCCTCAAATGCTGATCCACACACAAGCATAGCTGCTTGATCCAGTGCCACTGCGTCTGAACTGCAGCACTGTAGGCCTGGAAGAGACAACCATAGCTCTGCTGAAGGACAAAAAAGCCCAGCAGAAGCTGGGAAAAACCAAAGAAACCGTTGCTTCAAGCAAAGACTTCCCACAACTATATGCCCAGTTCCAGAAAGGAAACTTTTCCAGAACACAAGACAATTGCTTTATAGTTCTCTTTAAATTGTTAATATGTTGCATGATGCACAGGGCCTCCAATATATGGCTTTATCACATAGGCACTAACTCATCTGTGGATCAAACATGTATTCATATGGGAATGAAAGATGGAAAAGGCTCCCCAAAGAGGACGCTCACACTCCCCAGCCATCCTAAGTCCTGGCCTTGCCTAACCCCCTCCCAGAACACTCCCAAGCAGGAGCCAATAAGAGCCCCTCCCAGCCATGTCCTACCTCCACTGTTTGCTTGGCGGGGTGATTCTCCAATGAGAGCAGCTCAGAAGAATCTTGCAAAGCACGGAACACGTCCTGCTTCTCCTCCAGCTCCTCTGTCAGCTCCTGGGTGGGGAACACATCAAGGGCTTAGGAGGTGATTCTATTGCCGAAGCAGATGGAGGGTGCCTCTTGGCCAAAGAAAAGTCGGGCATGTGGAGGGATATAGAAAGATGGCAAGCCACCATTGGGGAATTGAGCAGGAGGGTCTGGGTTGTAATGCTGAGGATCATACTTGTCTTTCTGGGCTGTGCTGAGGCTGTGTTCCAAAAAGGGGGAAGCTCTAAGATTAAAGGATGATGTAGGCAAGGACAATTTTCAACATCTACATCTGTGATAGCACACGTGCCAGAGGTGGCATGCAGAGCCCTCTCTGCTGGCACACGCCCTGTTGCCCCAGGTCAGATCTCCATGGTATTTCTTTCGTGAGCTTCTGTTTCCTTGCAAATGACGAAACAGAAGCTCACGAAAGAAANAAATATATTTTAAAAAAAATAAAATAAAAAAAAAATAAAAGTCAGGGTCAAGTAGCTTTCCAGATGTTGTTTAATTCTCTCACCACTTTCTTTTGAATTTTACACATTGCAGTAATCTTCTTCATCCAGTAGATGGCTCCCCTGCTCCCAATTCCAGGGTTCCACAGTGCAAAAATCAGAAACAGTTGATTGTCATCCAATCAGGAGAGGTAGAAATTTAAAAAGCTTCGTGGAAATTTTAGAGTAAAAAAAAAAAAAAAACAATTTCTCCCAATAGACACTTTTCACAATGTTGTTTCCAGGCTTTCTGTGTTTTAAATCATCCTTTTCTTTTACTTCTGAATCTTTAATCTTCCTCTTTATTTTTAATCTTTAATCTTTCTCCATAAATCCAATCGCCATTTTTTTAACATTTAGAGATCATTTTTGGAACTTTTAACTTAGGTTAATTCTCTAAGGTAACAGTTGGAAATTTTCTCACCCAGTTTCACTGCTCCAGCATAAGAGCTTAATGTCCCAGTTGTCAAAGCTTGTGACTGACCAAAAATGGACGTCGTCCCTGCTGCTGTTCAGGAGAACTTTCTTTGGATCAATGAGGAAATTGTGGTTTCCTTGAAGAAGCCCCTTTCCTTTCTTCACCTCCTCTCCAGGGAGGATTAACCTCATAGGGTCTCCCAGCAAGCAGTTGCTGACTGCATTTTATGGAGCCCGGCGGAGCTCCGCTATTTCCCAGCCATGCAACATCATCCAGAATCCCCATAGCTCAACCTTGAGCTACAGAGATTCTCCTCTATTGGCACTGGCACTTCTGTTAGGGCTTCAAAAAGTTTAGGAATTTGCAAAACATCTTCAGACATCCTTTTGGCCCTGGAAAGAAATCTGCCAAAGATACTCACCATCAGTTTGCAGTACTGCGTCTCCAGTTTCCCCAGGGTTTCAGTGTAGCTAGCACGGAAATTTGAAGACATTTTACCCTAAATGGAAAAGAGGACAAAAAGGGCTGATTAAAAATAATACTACAATAGTTGGAAATGCTCATGCTAGACATGATGGCTTCTTTGAAATTCTTCCTTCCCTCTTCTTTTCAAATTACACACTATGGACTCGACGCAATTTAATAGACAGTGCAGTTCAAATCCAATTAGGGCAGAAGTAGGCAACCGTCAGCCCATGTGCAGCCCCTAGACCAATTTTTGCAGAACTCAAAATTTCCTTCAGGATCAGCCATCAAAACCAGTCATTTTCAGCAATATGGGTTGCTTTTTATTTTTGCCTTCTTAAATACTCAAGCTGTACTTGAGCATTGAGGTGGGCATTAAGCACCCACCTTTCAGAGTTCGTAAAGAAATAAGCAAACTCACAAATTGCTTTTAATCAGCCCAGTGTTGTGGTACTATTCAATCTGGAAGTCACTCTGCGATGATTCTGTGACCCCCATGAGGGGGTCTTTGTTTGAACTTTTTAGCAGTATAAAAGACACCTGTCCACAACCTCAAACAGTCACACTCCAAACTNGAAACAGAAGCTCACGAAAGAAAAAGATCTCTCTGCGCTCTCGGTGTTGGGATGTCCCACTTCCCAGCTGGTCTCCAAGTCTCTGCTGCGCATGCGCACATGTCCACACGCATGCCTGCGTTTGCTCGGGTGCACCTTTCAGTTTGGGTAAGTGTGCGTGCACAGTTTGGGCACTCGGTGTCTAAAAGGTTTGCCATCACTGATCTACATCAACATTCAATAATAGAATAATTTTTTCATGTCCTTTTTGAAGAAAACCTGGACTAATTTGGACTAGGACTATTAATGTTAATTAATAGAATATTCTAAGAGGCAAAAGAAGAAAAGGTCAGAAGAAAAAAGAGAAGAAGGAATTAAGACTTCATAATTGGACAATTGGGAGATATATAAATTGGGGAACTATAAGGCTGTAAATTATTATGAAATAAAATGTGAGGTTTTGGAGATATAACTATGGGATTGATTAAATAGAAACTTTTTAAATATTGAGATATTGGAATAACAGAAATATACTTTTTATAAGCTGTATCAAATGACTATAAAATGCATCTAGAGATGTATGAAGAAATATTGTGCATGTTAAGTCTGCATGAATCCTTAAGAAATGACAAAGAGACAAAGGAATTGTTTAAAGATACAGAAATGAATGTAGAAGTTATTCAACAGCTGGGGGGAAGAGGAACACGATATTCAAGAATAGATGAGAAATCAGAAAAAGCAGGGGAAGGGGAGAATAAAAATGAGAAACATGAAGCTAGGAACAAAGAGGAGAAGAGACTAATAGGCTAACATTACAATTTATAATGGTACAGAGAGAAGAGAGAAAAACCCCTTTAAAAAACAAAAACAAAAGGAAGTTTTGTGGATGGGTTTTCAAAAAATGCAGCAGAAAGAGGCAAAAGGTACTAGAAGGGAAAGTTTAGTAGACACAAAAAAACTAAAGAGATACAACATTACAAGAGAGAGAGAGATAAAAGACAGACCAAAAAATTAATAAACAATGGAATTTTAGAAAGACAAATATATGATTGATAATGAAAAAATATATTAATAAAATGGGAAAATACCATAACCCCAATAGGTTTAGGTTAGTAGACGGTAATTTAGGACTAGACAATTTAACTGAAGTGTTAATATTAACAGGGTGTTAAAAGATATTGTGAATTTAAAATACTAAGGATTAGAAATGATGGGGACCTTGAGATATACTCCTGTGATGGACTGAATATTGCTTATAATTGGTGTTATTAGTAATCCTATACATTTGAAATATTGATGTTATGGTGGACTAATGAATGATTTAAAATATTGAATGACAACATTTACTAAGGGATAATAAACACAAGGTGCAAAGAATGTTATTTATGCTTCAATGAATCAAAGGGAAAATGTAAAAGGAATATGAAATGAGTAGTATTGTTTGAAGTTGGAAGTTTAGAATTTCACATATTATTTCTACTGTTATTGTTAACATTGTATAAAAAAGATCTGACCCAATCAATGCACTGTCCGTAAAATATGTATGTTTATATTGGAAAAAATAAAAAAACTTTTTTAAAAAAAATGAAGAGTCCGGTAGCATCTTTAAAACTAAGAAATGTTACGGTCAGCCACATGCTACTCATCAAAGCCTTTGACTGATAATAAAACTAGAGTATTAGACTCTTTCCAATGTTTGGCTGTCACCGACCAACACACTCTCTCCTTACAATATCTACACTGAAAAATAGGAAATTGTGATTACAAAATCTCCCTCATGGGCCTCCTCTCTTGACTCTCAGAAAGAAGTCACCCTTTGGTCCTTTGGTCGCTATAAGATCTTTCTACTCACTGAGAAGTAACTCTTCTTTGTTGTCAGGTTAGGGTTGTTGTCACTCCAGTCGTAGGCAAGCTCTTCCTCCTCCTTTTCATTTAGCCAAATTAGCTCAGTTGTTGCTTGTGATACAAACTCATACAAACTTTGGAGATGACGTAGTCGAAAACTGGATGTCTCCTGCATAAAGATGACACATTTTGTCACATTTCACAATATTCAGCGCAGAAAATACATAAGATCCAACTAAGTGTTCAATTTGCATACTATCCTCTTTAAACCAAGAAAACAAAAAGACACCAACTTCTTCACTGTAAAATTTTTGAAAATGATGTGATGTGAAAAAATATGCACGCAAAGAACAAAAGGATGTTCAGAAATGCCATATTTGGGGAAAAGTAAATACAAATGAATGCAAAAAGGCATCTGGTTTTTGTGTGGAATTTCTCTGCCCAACTTGATGGTAAAATACATTGAAATGAGAACCTGAGCAAAGCAGCAAGTGAGCTCCTGAGTCCATTATCTCTAGAGATGATGAGAGGAGGGCAGCTATGAAGCCCCAGCAAGGAATCTGTTCTTGTGGCAAGACAAATGGCACACACAGAAATGGCCTTTGAAGGAAGAAGACAATGGCATTTCTGTGGCATTCTTGGCCGTTTTCCTGCAGGTGGTTCATTACCTGAGTAGATAACATTTTTAGTGCTATAAGAAGCACAAGAAGGAGTGCTAGCACTTGAAGATGTTTATTAATAAAGGAGAATATTTGTAGCTCAGGGTAGAGAGGAGGGATTCTTGGCGTTCTCTGAGCTTGCTTGTTTTCTTGCAGATGTTGCACTACCCAACTAGGTAACATGATCAGTGCTAGTAAGGAGTGGGGTTTACTCTCCCTTTATATTCTAGTGGCTTGCCCTGTCAGTATTGGTAGAGGGTATCTTGGTGGTTCTTTGATTGGGCTGTTTCCTCTTAACTTGTTTGGAAGTTCCTTGATTGGGATACTGCTTACTTCTTGATTGCTGGTCTGATGTTAATCCTGGAGTAAATCTATGCTCATCTGGGTGTTGATTGCTGATAGGGAGGTGTTTGGGTCTTTTTGTTCTCTTTTTGGCTTGTTGATTGTTTCTTTTGCACAGAATGTAGATATGGTTTATATCTTTGTGTCTATTGATGGCCAATTTGGCAGAGCACAAGGCTTCCAGAAATTCTCTAGCCGTTTTGGGCTTGCTTGGTCTATTGTTTATTTATTTATAATATGTTTATATATTTATTTGATTTTTATCTCATCTTTATTACTTTATAATTAGTCAAAGCAGCAAATATACCTAATACTCATTAGTATTGAGTATAATACTCAATACTGTGTAATGACTAGGTTGACATATTTTTCATACAATGCTCACAGTAATAATACAATTACATATGCATAATTTTTATCTACCAACTTCTAACCTTAATATACTCAATATAATTATAATATATTATTTTATGTATCAGTCGATATTATGCTATTTTCCCAATCTATCGTTCAGTGTTCCACCACATTTTCAATATCTCAACTTTCTATAAATACCAATAAAACTAATAAGCTAATAAGATTTAATCAGTCCCAAGATTATATCTCTAAATCCCCTGAATTTATAGTCCTTGAAAACTATATTTTCCAATTTTTTTTTTTTACATCTTGTTGATCATAATANTGTATCCCCCCTCCCTATAAGTTGTTAGCCGCCCTGAGTTCCCTCAGGGAAAAGGGCGACCTATAAATAAACCTATTCAATTAAATTCAATTCAAGGTTAGCTGGCCTGGACACCCTTCCCCTGCGAGTCTGATTAGCCATTAGGATACTTACTTGCCCTTGCCACAAGAACAGAAAGAGCAGCTCTTGCTGGGAGAGTGTCTTGCACAGCACAGTGAAATTTAACAGCTGTGAGCCGCGGCTTTCCTCTAAATCCCATCCAGAAAACATTGTGGCAGAGAGAAGCAGCATTCAACCTGGCTGCTTCTCTCTGCCCCAGCACTTTCTGGATGGGACTTACAGGACCCAAAGGACAGGGTGTGGTGGAACGAGGCAGGGTATGGTGGGGTGGGGTATGGCAGAGCTGGGTGGGGTGGGCAGACCAGGATGGCAGGCCCAGTCAGTGGTGTGATTTGCCAGTTCACATTCTATGAACCCCAAAGAGTTGGAGGAAATGAGATGATATATAGAAAAGAACCTAACAAGAGGATTCATACAACCGGCTAGGTCTTGTATCACGGGCCCTGTCCTGTTCAGGGAAAAGGATGAGGGTCTGTGCTTGTGTGTAGACTTCCAAGAAATTAACGGCATGGAAATTAATGGAATGGAGCACATGTACCCCCTCCTCCTTATGAAGGACATGCTGGTCTGCTTGGCTGAAGAACATATCTTCATCAAGCTGGACCTAAGGGAGGCCTACTATCAGGTTCAGATCAAAGAAGGGGATGAGTGGAAGACAGCTTTCAATTGCCCATTGGGTAGCTACCAATTCAGGGTAATGCCTTTTAGTTTACAAGGGGCCCAGGTAGTGTTCATGTAGTTGATCAGTGAGGTCCTGCATGAACTGCATACAAGGGGGTGCTCATCTACTTGAAAAACATCCTGGTTTACACCAAGTCCATGGACAACCATGTTCAATTGGTGCGCAGGATCCTGAGAAAACTACTGGAGGCAAATCTATACGTCAAGTTAATGAAATGCGAGTTCCACAAGACATGGTTGGACTAACTGGGTTACAGATTGTCCTGGGAGGAGTAGAGATGGACCTGACCAAGGTGCAGGCAAAACTGGACTGGCAGGCCCCAAAAACCTGAAAACAATTTCAAAGCTTCCTAGGTTTTGTAGACTTCTACTGCCAGTTCATCCCATCTTTCACCAAGGTGGTCCTCCCATTGATGGACCTCCTGAAAACCAAACATCTCGCTGGGAGGCCTTGGTAAGATCATCACAGTGGACAATAGCATGTCAGCAAGCCTTCAAAAACTCAAAGGCATTATTTGCTAGGGAGCCATTGCTGCAACACCCAGATCCCACAAAACTTTTCATGGTTCGGGCTGATGCTAGCAATGTGGCTGTGGGGGATGTTCTCTTACAAGCCAATGAGGTGGGGGGTTATGGCTACCATGCGCCTACACCTCTTGCAACTGAATGAGACTGAACAGCTGTCAGGCTTGGAAGCCATATTTTACTGTGGGCCTCAAGCCTGCCACATATGGGAAACTGGGACAAGTAATTGTATGGGGTGTGAGAGCTGTGTAATCATAACAACATTTTTTCTCAGAAAGTCAAGGCCGTTCTATCGCACAATCCATGGGTCAGTGGGGGGCAGTCCTCCTCACTACATATCTCAGCAAGGACTCTGTAGTCCCTGGGGATCCAAGGGGTTTCCAGGAGCTGTTTGGATAATGCTGCCAATGCCTCTTCTCTGCTAGCATTGGATTGTTGTGGATTGGTTGGCTCATTTGGTGGGTTTGGAAGCACTCGGGGCCAAGAGCTAGCTTAGGTTTCTGATACTTACCTAGCCAGGCAAGGCCCAATATGACTGATTCAGTCATTTTTGGCACAACTCTAAAACAAATTAGCTCCCAATGCTTTCCCATCTCAAGTTTCAGTTGTTTGGTAACCTCTGAGGCTGGGCATCCCATCGACTTGCTCAAACCAGATTGGGGATCTCAGCACTTTTGTTTCAATGCCCAATGAGTTCTTTTCTTCCCCATGGGATGGTGGGGAGGGGACCTCCACGGTTTGGCAGACAAATTTCCCTTTCTCGACTGGCTTCCTCGGGGCTCTCCTCGGATTGGCTAGGGAAGGCACTCTCACTTGAGAAACTGGGGCTGGCACGAGGCAGTCAGAGGCTTGATGGTCTTGTTGCCCACAATGGAATCACCTGATGAAGTTGGTTGTGGTTGCCTTAGGACAGTGATGGCTAACCTTTTCTGGACTCAGTGCCCAAAGCATGCACACAAATATGCATATGTGTAGCCAAACCCCCAAAGTGTCATAAATGTGTGGACCTGTGCATGCACCCCACCCATGTGCATGCGGCCTCCTATGTGCCTTTCTCCCATGCATGCACACACAGACCCCACACAGATTCCCCACCCCCATGCATGTGTGCATGCTGACTCTTCACACACCCTCTCCCCACCCATGCACATCAGAGATTCGAAGACCAGCTGGCTGGTGGGAGGTACCCATGTGGCAGAGCTGAACTGGGGCAATGGTTCACGTACCCAGAGAGGGCATGTGTGCCGTAAGTTTGCCATCATGGTCTTAGGATGTTCCTCAATCAGTTGGGGAGTGGTGCTGCGCCAGAGTTGCCTCCGGAGTTGTTTCTCTGGTACAGCTCTGCGATGTTGTCTCAACTTGTTATCCATAATTGCCATTCTGTACCATTCAAGGATTCAATCTGGCAGTCTGTGACACAGGGATATTTTTAGTAGTTCCTCAGCAATGCATTCCTTGAAGTAATGCACTAGGATCCATTCAGGTCAGTTTCTCAGCTTATTGGCTTGGTGGTGGAATTCTTGCACAACTTATTTTGCCTGGCATCCTTTTTGCCTGATCAGTTTGATTTCTGCTTCTGTTTCCTGGGCTTGGGAGAAATCCTTGAATCAGGCCTTTTTCAGGAAATCATTAACATTTTGGAGTTGGGTGAACCACTCGGACACCTCCTCTTCCAGGTTGTCTCCTAGAACAGACACAATACCCCTATCATCATGGCACTCATCCTCATAAGGATCAATGTATGACGAATCTCAATTCAGGAAGAAAGAAAGTTTTCCTGAGGTACCATAGAACATCGTTTTGAATGATATCGTGACGTGGGCTCACTCTGGCTGCTGCTGCAGTGGTAGAGCTGATGCCGGGGCTGGATCCACTTGGACATGCTCCTGAACCCAGCCATGGCTGGGGTTAAACACCCAACCAGCGTGATCAACCAGAGGGAGATGTGGCTGGTGGGTTTGTCCCCTGTGATACCTCCGTCTGCTGGTCTGCCTACAGATTGATGGCGGTGGTGAATGGATAACAGGTCAAGCTCCTATGGCAGTAGATCAGCCCCTCCAGGGGTGACTTGTTTCATCCAATAGCCATGTCAGGTCCAGGTTTGATAGACTAGAAGCTCAGTCCCTTCTGGGTAGTATTTGCCTTGCTGGTTGATCACAAGCCTTGCAGCTTATGTTAAGTTGTTCCAGTTGCTTGGGCAGCCACTCAAACATTTGGCTGCACATTGCTATCTGGTACTGCCACTCTGTGGTTTTATTCAGGTCAATGGGGCCAGTAGATCTCCCCTCTAGCATCGTGCCTCGTGATTCCTGGGAAGCAGTTAAAGAGCGGTCAATCAGCAGGTAGGGGAGTGCCATTTGCCCAAGCAGGTGCCTCTCCATCAGCTGGATTCCCCCCTCCAGTTTCCCAGTTGACCGGGGTCTTGGGATGTGCGCCCATCTGGCATGTGATATCCTCTACTAAAGCAGTCACTTGAAGGATTTCCAAATGGGATTGGTAGCTTCTGGCTGGGCCCGCCACAAAGCTTGCATCCACAGACAACTCCTTGGCTTTCAGTTCTTTCTCCGTCTTCCCTGAGTCTCCGCTGCTGCCTGGTTGATTAGATTAGCTAAGCAGCCAGGGCTCAGGACCCTGGATAGTGATGCCCTGTCCAGGGTTCATGGGTTATTTCTTTTTTAAAAGCAGATTGGAAATAATGTCAAGCCTCCAAGTAACATGTCCCCAATAATAACAGTCCAAGACAGCCATATTCCAACAAAGTATTTCTATTAGGAACATATCAAATTGGCAAGGTTTCAGTGTAATTCCAGATCTGGCCAGCCAGCCTCTGGAATTACAAAACACACACACACACACACACACACACACACACACACACACACACACACA